CCCTGCGAGGCGGTGAAGGTGGGGCTCATGATCAAGGGCAAGATGCGCCCGCTGGCGCCTGAAGGCTGTCGCGATGCCGCGCGCGGCGAGCCGACTGTGCTGTTGGCGGAGGACGGCCGAGCTTCGGACCTCACACCTCCCAGCGAGGGGAACGCGACAGCCTGCCTCTGCGAGCATCACAGGCAGATCTACAAGGTCCTACGCTATGGCGAGAAGTGCTCCCAGGTGACGTGCTTCCGCGAGGCGGCGGGCAACGCCTCGGGGGCCCCGCTCTGCCTGCAGCACCTCGGAGGCGACGCCGCCAAAGCCCTCCACGACACCCCCACGGGCGTCGGGTTCCTCGCGGGCCTGCGGCGTCCAACCCGGAGGAGCCCTGCTCCGCGGAGCCGCGCGCCGGAGCGTGCTACCGCTGCGCCAGCCCGGAGTCGCACTCCAGAGCGCTCCACTCCGGCGGTCTCCGCCCCAGAGGCACCCGCCAGCCCAGGCGACCCTGTCCCCGCGCCGGCTGGACCACCGAGCGTGCGCTTCGAGGCGCCGCCGGTCCCAGAGTTACCCAAGCCGCCCACGCCGCCGCCCATGCCGCTCGGGCGGCATTTCATCGTTCGGGCGAGGGCACAGCGGCCGGAAGGGGCGCAGTGGAAGATTTTCAGGGGAAGGGCGGCCGACGCCGCCGCGGCCAGCGCAGTTGCCGATTACCTCGACGGTGCAATGGCTCTCGAGGTGGAGGACCCGACTGGCGCAACCACCCGCTTTCTCGCGAAGCCTGACGGCGTCATCCGCGCGCCTGCCCCAGGGCCCTCAGGGCGTCTGCCCGCGGGATTCATCGAGGAGTTGCTCCACCACGCGCCCCTGGGTTGCGAGGAGCTCGGCATCAGCGCCTCAGCGACCAACATACCCGAGAAAGTCTGGCATAGCCACTGGCAACGGCTTGACCGCAGCAGCTCGCCCATGCCACCAGCTGGGGCCACACGCCGCGGCTCACGCTCCCCGTCAGCCGAGGGCGGGCGGGCGGCCAGCTCTGAAGCACCAGTGTCGGGAGAGAGCCAGCAAGGGGACGACGGCGGGGACATGATGGCATGCTACTTGGAGGAGAAGGCTCGCGGGTCGAGCGACGCGGCGGCAGTGCAGAGCGTGGCCGCCGGCTTCGACGAGGAGGCCCAACAAGTGCTCGCTAGCCTTGTCCGCTACGCCCAGCTCCTCAAGCAGCAGACGACCGAGCCGGAGGAGCTCGCTCGGCTCGAGGGGCACATCAGTAGCTGGGAGGCGCTTCAGCAAGTGCCCTCACGACCCCAGACCCCAGAGGCGGCGCCGAGCAGCCTTCAGGGTCTCCTCAAGCTCCCGCCCGAGCGCCCCCGCTCGCAGGGGCCGCCGGCCACCCAGGCCGATAGCGCGCCCCTGTTCGAAGCACGGCCGCCTCGCTCGCCAGCGGCAGCTACGTCAGCCTTCGCCTTGGGGCCGCGGGACGCCGGCCCCCCAGCGACCACAGCTGGGCTGGCCCCGGTCGTCCGCCCACAGGCTCCGAACATCGGGGCCCTGTTCCGCTACGACCAGCACATCAGCGACTTGGGCCTACCCCCCGGTCTGGCCGCATGCCGCGGGAGCCCCGGAGGAGGGCGGAGGCAGCGACCCGTTCGGCCTCACACACCCCGGAGCGCCCATGGACGCGAACACCGCGCGGATGCTCCACGCCTTGGAGGGAGTCGCCAGCGCTCGCCAAGGTGACAAGGCAGCCCAGCGAGGGACGGTGGCTGCGTTGGGGAGAGCGGAGGAGCTGGACGTCTACTTGGCGCGCGGGTGTGGCCAGCTGACAGTGGAGGTCTGCGACGAGGTCCTTGGGCGCGAGCTGTTCTATGCTCTGCGCCGGACTTGCGAACAGAACAAGGCCTTGATGCTCGCCGTCGAGACGCCCACGACAGTGTCTAACCGGATCGCGATGGCCTGCGCCTCGCTCAGCTTCGGCGGCAGCAGCCTGGACAACTTAGCTCCATGGTCGGCCTCCGTGGCGGACTTCCCGACGTGCAAGACGGTCGCGTTCGACAAGTACAGCGCACCGCACGACACCAAGCTGGAACCCAGGCCCAGGGCTCCCGTGGTCTTTGACCAGTGGAAGCGGCAGGCCCAGAACATGACCAAGTTCTTCGGACTCGTCTTCGGACGAGAGCATATCAAAGAGCGTCTGGACTGCCTGGCGACCCTCGCGCGGGTGTGCGAGAGGGACGACCATGCTTTCCCACCCAAGTTCGTTTATGAGCTGTGGGAGGAGCTGTGGTCGACCTGGTGGGAGCGCCTCCGAGAGAAGAAGCGAGGTCTCCTACGCGTGCTGCAGACAGACAGCCCCCGGAAGGAGGACCTCAAGATGGCGGCTTTCGCTCCCAGGGCGGACGGGCGCCCGGCGTTCGTCTTCCCCAACGTCTTCGACCTCGAGTCCCCCACGGGCTACTACCAGGAGGTCGTGCGTCCTCGGCAGCAGCGCTACCTGCAGACCGTCCTCAACGACTCGATGCATGGGGCGCGCGGCGCCCCGGGCAAAGCCGGAGAGGTCGGAGGAGAGAGACGAACCAGCTGCGGAGCCGCAGGAACATCGAGCAGGAGCTGCAACCAAGAAGAAGCCCAAGGCCAAGGCCCAGCCGAAGACCAACACCGCGCGCGCTGCCTACCCTGCGGGCAAGCGACTGAACGCACAGGAGATCAAGCTCTCCGTCCGGCACGCGCCCTGCGATAAGCAGGGCAAGCCGTTCTGCTGGGACAACTCGACCTGGATAGGCTGCAAGAAGGGCGCTCAAGGGTGCTCGCATTCACACGAGCTCATCAAGGGCCTGAAGGACGTGCACTGGACCGTGCAGTGTCAGCTGCTCAGGCGAGGCGGGCTCCGCAACGCCGCCAAGATCGACCCAGCTTCGGTCAATGGGCGGATTGCGCAGCTGCGGGCCCAAGCCAAGACCGAAGCGGACGGCAAGCGGGCTGCAGGCGCGGGGGCGGCGGAGAGCCAGCCGACCAAGACAGGCTGGGCACCACCCGACGAGTACGCCGAGGTTCAGTGCACCGAGCTTGAGTCGGAGCTCCGCGAGGCCGCCCAGGGACCCGACGCTACCTGGTTGGAGGACCCACGCGCCGACAGCCCAGCCCTGGTTGGGACGAGCATCTGCACAGACGAGGGGGCCTTGGCCCAGCAGAAGCTGCTCGAGGCCGTCCAGGAGAGCGGGGTGCTCGACTCCGTGAGCCATGCCAGTGACTACATGCGGTCGCATGTCTTGGCCCGCCTTGCCTGCGCCTGCGGGCGCGAGGAAGAGCTCTCAGTCGAACAGGTACTCCTTGAGGCAACGCGCCACGGCGGGCCCACCCTGGCTGCCGAGGCTAGCGAGCTCCTGGACCGCATCGGGGCGAAAGCTGGCAACCTGGGGGCTGACCCAGACGTCATCATCACGCCGGTGCGGCGGAATGCTGAGAAGTCAGTGGGACAGGGCTCCGTCACGGTGCAAGGCCAGACCTGGCACTACCTTGACTATCAGGACCAGCTGCCCCTCGACGAGCGCGTCGCGAAGCGTCTGCACGTGCCCGCCGGAGTGTCGGAGGAGCGTCAGCGTCTCCCGCTCCACCTGGCGGCAGCCAAGCTCCGGGTGCAGCTCGAAGCACCACCTGACGCCCAGCAAGTCAAGGACCTGGCCCTTGAGATCCGCAGAGACCTCCTGGAAATGGCGACCGACGCTGCTGCGGGCCTCGCCGACGCTCCACCTTGGATATCTTCCAGGGAGGCCGAAGTCCGGATGCACATCCACGACGCGGTGTATCGCGACCACGACAAGGATTTCAGGTGCGTCGCTCTCTTCCCGTGCGAGGCGTTGGAGGAAGTGGTACTCAAAGTATGGCGGGCGGATCACTGGGGTCACTTGGATATCGACACGGTCCTCCCAGCGGGAGAACCCAAGCAGGAATGCCACGTGATCATCCATCGCGGGCATATGCGAGTTCTTCACCCCCCGTGCGGCGCTGAGGGTCGGCGAGTGGCAGACGAGCTGATCCGCACCTGGGCCACGAGCGGGAAGGACCTCAAGGAGCTCCCCCCCATGGGCTGGGAAACATACCTGGCCTCCGAGGAGGATGGCAGCCCAGTGGTGTCCAGCAAGCCCCCACCGTGCCAGCACTGCAGGGCACTCGCCGCGCAGCAGCAGCAGCGTGGAAGAGCCGCCGGCGGTGCACCCGCCGTGGTCGAGCTCTCCACCGAGGTGGCCTGCCCGGACTTCAGGGACCTGCAGCCTTTGCGCCCCCGACCCGGTTTCGCGTGGGGGCTCAGGACGCGGGAGATCTTCGCCGGCACAGGGCGCTGGACACAGGCTATGAAGAACGCGGGCATCGCCACCAGCGAGTCCGTCGAGTACTTTGGACAGCCTCTTCTTGGCTAAGACCCCAGGCCGCAGTTCGACATCCGCGACCCGCTGGTGCGCGAGCGCCTGTACCAGGAGTTCAGCGCGCCTCCGGGCCCCGACGAGGCCAACGTGCTGCAGTTCGCTCCACCCTGCGTGAGCCACTGCCCCTGGCAACTGGCAGCAGGAGGGACGAGAACCTTCGAGTGTCCGGATGGGACTGGAGAGCGCCAAGTCGAGACCGACGGCAACGTGTTCGGGGAGTTCGCGTGCTTAGGGGCGAAGAGGGGCTACGAGGCAGGACGTGAGTTCCTCATCGAGTCCTCAGCGCGGGACGGCCGGTACCCCAAGCTTTGGGATCGCCCCTGCATGAGAGCTCTGGTGCACGCGACTGGGGCCCGAGTCATCGCCATAGACATGTGCGAGTGGGGACTCGCACCTCCGGACGAGCCCCAGTATCGGTATCAGAAGCGAACTTGGTGGCTGGCATCGCTCGGGATCTATCCCTACGCTCTGATCCTGGCCAGGAGGTGCACGGGCCAGCACACGCACCGCACGCTGGAGGGCGGCTTGCCATACGACTTGACGGACGCCCAGGTGGAGGCCTACAACCTCGACACGCGCATGCGGCTCGGCAAGGCCGAGGCAAGCGAGCTGATCAACCTCAGCACCAAGTTGGGCGAGGTCAGCGGGTGCTATGGCCTTGACGAAGACGGCGCCACCGTCAAGCTGCCCCCGGACGACAAGCTACTCCGCGTGAACCAGCTCATCGCGCGGGCCGCCCCGGACAATTTTCACTGGGCGAGGGTTGACTTCCGCGCCAAGCGGCACTACTCCGCTCTGCCTGAGTACCAGTGGGCCCTCTACTTCGGGAAGACCCCCGAGGGCGAGCTCCCCTGAGGTCTGAAAGGACTGTTTTTTAGGAACATGATTTATGTTCCTTTTTCATAGGAACATGATGTTGAATTAGGAACATGATTTTGTTGTTGTTTTTGATGTCATAAGTTTTTGTGATTTTATTACTTAAACTTTGCAGTGAGTACCATCATCGGCAGATTCCTTCCACTGTCACCGCCAGTGTTGCCATCATCACCACGCCCGCCATCATCGCCATCATCGTCGGCAGGGTCGGGTTCGAAACTTGGGCCAAGCCGCGAGCTTGAGCCAAATTATGAAAACAAACCGCCCTCCATGAAACCAACGTGCGCGGCGCTGAAGCGAGAGCGCAATCCCAGCGCCGTAATCCCCCCGCGGAGAAAGCGGATCATATCGGGGCAGACTTGGTGTCGTTCCCCCTCCTCCACCTCCGCCTCACATCCTCCTCCGTAGCCATATTTTGGCCCGAGGCTCGAGGCCTCTTCCTCGCCGAGGCTGCGAGGGACCCGCAGCTCGGCACTGGGCGCGACGCGCCCGCCGCCAGCCACCCGCGCGCGGCGCGCGGCGCGCGGCGCCCGCCACCGGCCACCATGTCGAGGTCGCCAAGGAACTATCCAGAGTCGGTGGCGATTTGGAAGAATAAGGGCGGAGGAATTCAGCGAATTCCATCACCGTGGGTGTACAGGGACGACGATGATGAGGGAATATGGAAGTGCTACGCGTGCGGTGGCAAGGAGATGTGCGAGTCGCACGCCATGTCGAGAGATCACGCTCGGAAAGTTTGGTATTATTGTTTCGGCTATGGCAAACATCAGGGGCCTGGCAAGCTCATGAACGCGGTGGAGTCCAGCGTCCGCCACAACAACAATTTCGTGTATCCAGGTCGCGGGCCCGGCGGCGCCGCGTCCATGCTCGAGCCGCAGGGGGGCGACGACCATCGAGGAGCGCAAGCGGCGGCGGCGGCTGAGGAAGTCCCGTCGGGCTCTCGGTGGGCCGCGGCCGCGGCTGCCGCGGGGCAGCAGGGGGCGGGCGAGGCGGAGGTGACGCTCGTGGAGAGTTTCAAGATGGACAGCAACTCGAACTCGTCGCAGATCGAGCTCGGGCCGTCCATAGACCAGAAGCTTGACGGGGTGATCGCGTTGACGAGTACCATGGGGCAGATCATGGACAAGGCGACGAAGCTCATCGAGAAGATCGATGGCTCGGCGGCCGACCAGAAGGGGCCGACGGCGGAGGCCAAGATCGACGAGGTGAAGCAGAGCTTCGAGTCTGCGTTGCAGACGCTCGAGGCCAAGATCGGAGAGGTGAACATGATGGACCCACGAACCCGGAAAGGGATATAGACATGTGCAGCATGGTCACGTTTTCACGATATCCAACTGGGCGACACCTCACGAAACATCCCACGAGACACCCCGCGAAACATCCCAGGAGACACCTCACGAAACAACCCACGAGACACCTCACGAAACATTCCACGAGACACCCCGTGAAACATTCCACGAGACACCCCACGAACAGGCAACCACTCAACCAGACACCCCACGAAACATTCCACGGGGGTGCGACTGGGTGTGGTCGTGCTGGGGTGTGGTCGTGCTGGAGTATGGTCGTGTTGGGGTGTGGTCGTGCTGGGGTGTGGTCGTGCTGGGGGGTGGTCGTGCTGGGGGGTGGTCGTGCTAGGGGGGTGGTCGTGCTGGGGGGTGTCGTGCTGGGGCGTGGTCGTGCTGGGGCGTGGTCGTGCTGGGGCGTGGTCGTGCTGGGGTGTGGTCGTGCTGTGGTGAGGTCGTGCTGGGGTGTGGTCGTGCTGGGGTGTGGTCTTGCTGGGGTGGGGTCGTGCTGGGGTGGGGTCGTGCTGGGGTGTGGTCGTGCTGGGGTGTGGTCGTGTTGGGGTGGGGTCGTGCTGGGGTGGGGTCGTGCTGGGGTGTGGTCGTGCTGGGGTGTGGTCGTGCTGGGGGGTGGTCGTGCTGGGGTGTGGTCGTGCTGGGGTGTGGTCGTGCTGGTCGTGTGTGGTCGTGCTGGGGCGTGGTCGTGCTGGGGGGGTGGTCGTGCTGGGGTGGGGTCGTGCTGGGGTGTGGTCGTGCTGGGGTGGTCCGCACCCTGTGATTTATCGATCGGGTCGTGCTGGGGTGTGGTCGTGCTGGGGTGTGGTCGTGCTGGGGTGTGGTCGTGCTGGGGTGTGGTCGTGCTCGTGCTGGGGGGTGGTCGTGCTGCTGGGGCGTGGTCGTGCTGGGGCGTGGTCGTGCTGGGGCGTGGTCGTGCTGGGGTGTGGTCGTGCTGTGGTGAGGTCGTGCTGGGGTGTGGTCGTGCTGGGGTGTGGTCTTGCTGGGGTAGGGTCGTGCTGGGGTCGGGTCGTGCTGGGGTGTGGTCGTGCTGGGGTATGGTCGTGCTGGGGTGGGGTCGTGCTGGGGTGGGGTCGTGCTGGGGTCTGGTCGTGCTGGGGTGTGGTCGTGCTGGGGTATGGTCGTGCTAGGGTGGGGTCGTGCATTTCGCTCGAGACATCCTGCCAAAATTCCAGGAAATCGTACAAAAACATGATGGACCCACGAACCCGGAAAGGGATATAGACATGTGGAGCATGGACACGTTTTCATGATACCCAACTGGGCAACACCTCACGAAACATCCCACGAGACACCTCACGAAACAGCCCACGAGACACCTCACGAAACATTCCACGAGACACCTCACGAAACATTTCACGAGACACCCCGCGAAACATTCCACGAGACACCCCACGAAACATTCCACGACGACAGGCAACCACTCAACCAAGGCGGTGTGGTCGTGCTGGGGAGTGGTCGTGCTGGGGTGTGGTCGTGCTGGGGGGTGGTCGTGCTGGGGGGTGGTCGTGCTGGGGGGGTGGTCGTGCTGGGGGGTGGTCGTGCTGGGGCGTGGTCGTGCTGGGGCGTGGTCGTGCTGGGGCGTGGTCGTGCTGGGGCGTGGTCGTGCTGGGGCGTGGTCGTGCTGGGGTGTGGTCGTGCTGTGGTAAGGTCGTGCTGGGGTGTGGTCGTGCTGGGGTGTGGTCTTGCTGGGGTGGGGTCGTGCTGGGGTGTGGTCATGCTGGGGTGGGGTCGTGCTGGGGTGTGGTCGTGCTGGGGTGTGGTCGTGCTAGGGTGGGGTCGTGCTGGGGTGGGGTCGTGCTGGGGAGTGGTCGTGCTGGGGTGTGGTCGTGCTGGGGTGTGGTCGTGCTGGGGCGTGGTCGTGCTGGGGTGGGGTCGTGCTGGGGTGGGGTCGTGCTGGGGTGGGTTCGTGCTGGGGTGCTCCGCACCCTGTGATTTATCGATCGGGTCGTGCTGGGGTGTGGTCGTGCTGGGATGTGGTCGTGCTGGGGTGTGGTCGTGCTGGGGTATGGTCGTGCTGGGGTGGGTCGTGCTGGGGTGTGGTCGTGCTGAGGTGTGTCGTGCTGGGGTGTGGTCGTGCTGGGGTATGGTCGTGCTAGGGTGGGGTCGTGCATTTCGCTCGAGACATCCTGCCAAAATTCCAGGAAATCGTACAAAAACAAACGAATTAGTCGAGACATCATCGAAATTCCTTCGCGCGGGGCGCTTTTCCGCGTCGCGGTCGGCTCTGCAAAACAAGCGTTTCGCTCGAGACATCCTCGGCAAACTCTGCGGAGCAAGCGTTTCGCTCGAGACATCCTCAACTCTGCAAAACCAGCGTTTCGCTCGAGACATCCTCAAGAAATTCTGAAAAACAAGCGTTTCGCTCGAGACATCCTCAAATTTTAATTCGCCGGCCTCCTTCGACCTCGTTATTTATCAGGGAAAAAATTCGCCGGCCTCCCTCAAGTTGGCACCGGGGCACAGGTTCACCTACTAAAAGAGAACCCTGGGCCCCCGCCCTTTCCGGGAACAAAGGAATTAGTCGAGACATCATCGAAATTCCTTCGCGCGGGGCGCTTTTCCGCGTCGCGGTCGGCTCTGCAAAACAAGCGTTTCGCTCGAGACATCCTCGGCAAACTCTGCGGAGCAAGCGTTTCGCTCGAGACATCCTCAACACACGAAACATGATGGACCCACGAACCCGGAAAGGGATATAGACATGTGCTGCATGGTCACGTTTGCACGATATCCAACTGGGCGACACCCCACGAAACATCCCACGAGACACCCCGCGAAACATCCCAGGAGACACCTCGCGAAACAACCCACGAGACACCTCACGAAACATTCCACGGGAGACCCCGTGAAACATTCCACGAGAAACCCTACGAACAGGCAACCATTCAACCAGACACCCCCCGAAACATTCCACGGGGGTGCGACTGGGTGTGGTCGTGCTGGGGTGTGGTCGTGCTGGGGTGTGGTCGTGCTGGGGGGGTGGTCGTGCTGGGGGGTGGTCGTGCTGGGGCGTGATCGTGCTGGGGCATGGTCGTGCTGGGGCGTGGTCGTGCTGGGGTGTGGTCTGCTGTGGTGAGGTCGTGCTGGGGTGTGGTCGTGCTGGGGGGGTGGTCGTGCCTGGGGGTGGTCGTGCTGGGGGGGTGGTCGTGCTGGGAGTGGTCGTGCCTGGGTAGTGGTCGTGCTGGGGCGTGGTCGTGCTGGGGCGTGGTCGTGCTGGTGGTGAGGTCGTGCTGGGGTGTGGTGTGCTGGGTGTGGTCCCTGGGGTCGGGCCTTGCTGGGGTGGGTCGTGTGGGGTGGTCCTGCTGGGGTGTGGTCGTGCTGGGGTGTGGTCGTGCTGGGGTGGGGTCGTGCTTGGGTGGGGTCGTGCTGGGGTGTGGTCGTTCTGGGGTGTGGTCGTGCTGGGGTGTGGTCGTGCTAGGGTGGGGTCGTGCTGGGGTGGGGTCGTGCTGGGGTGTGGTCGTGCTGGGGTGTGGTCGTGCTGGGGTGTGGTCGTGCTGGGGGGTGGTCGTGCTGGGGGGTGGTCGTGCTGGGGGGGTGGTCGTGCTGGGAGGTGGTCGTGCTGGGGAGTGGTCGTGCTGGGGCGGGGTCGTGCTGGGGCGTGATCGTGCTGGGGAGTGGTCGTGCTGTGGTGAGGTCGTGCTGGAGTGTGGTCGTGCTGGGGTGTGGTCTTGCTGGGGTGGGGCCGTGCTGGGGTGGGGTCGTGCTGGGGTGGGGTCCTGCTGGGGTGTGGTCGTGCTGGGGTGTGGTCGTGCTGGGGTGGGGTCGTGCTGGGGTGGGGTCGTGCTGGGGTGTGGTCGTTCTGGGGTGTGATCGTGCTGGGGTGTGGTCGTGCTAGGGTGGGGTCGTGCTGGGGTGGGGTCGTGCTGGGGTGTGGTCGTGCTGGGGAGTGGTCGTGCTGGGGTGTGGTCGTGCTGGGGGGTGGTCGTGCTGGGGGGTGGTCGTGCTGGGGGGGTGGTCGTGCTGGGAGGTGGTCCTCAGAATTCAGGTCCCCAGGAGAGGACAATCTATAACACAAAACAAGCGTTTCGCTCGAGACATCCTCACCATTTTCTGAAAAACAAGCGTTTCGCTCGAGACATCCTCAAATTTTAATTCGCCGGCCTCCTTCGACCTCGTTATTTATCAGGGAAATTTTAATTCGCCGGCTCGTTATTTATCATGGAAAAAATTCGCCGGCAATTCGCCGGCTCGTTATTTATCATGGAAAAAATTCGCCGGCAATTCGCCGGCTCGTTATTTATCAGGGAAAAAATTCGCCGGCCTCCTTCAAGCAGGCACCGGGGGACAGGTTTACCTAGTAAAAGAGAACCCTGGGCCCGCGCCCTTTCCGGGAAAAGTGGCCCGCACCCTGTGATTTATCGATCGGGATTTCAAAAACAAGCGTTTCGCTCGAGACATCCTCAAATTTTAATTCGCCGGCCTCCTTCGACCTCGTTATTTATCAGGGAAAAAATTCGCCGGCCTCCCTCAAGTTGGCACCGGGGGACAGGTTTACCTACTAAAAGAGAACCCTGGGCCCCCGCCCTTTCCGGGAAAAACATCGTCGAGAAGCAGTCGAAGCAGTCGGAGCATACCATTAAGAGTATGAAGGAGTACAAGCAGGACATGGAGGGCAAGCTCGACGAGGTGAAGACGTGCTTCGAAAGCCAGGTGCCAACTCTGACGGCGCAGATGGCCGAGGTGAAGACGAGCTTCGAAAGCCAGGTGCCGACGCTGGAGGCCAATATCGACGAGGTGAAGAGCGAGGTGAGGAGCAGCTTCGATACTAAGGTGCCGATGCTGGAGACGAAGATCGACGGGGTGAGGAAGAGCTTCGAGTCCAAACTGCCGACGCTCGAGGCCAAGATCGACGAGGTGAAGCGCAGCATCGATACGAAGGTGCCGATGCTGGAGCAGAAGATCGACGCGCTGACCGATCAGATTCGGGCCCTGTGCGAGCCTGGGACGCCGTCGCAGGTCTACCCGCAGGGCTCGGCGACTTTGGGATTGCGCAATTTAAGGAGCAGTTCGAGTCCGAGTTTGTTGGAAGTTCGCGGAGTCGATTCATCGTTTCGTCGCTGAGCAGTCCTCGAGATGCCCGAGAGCCTGAGAGATGCGTTTTTTTTCTTCGCGCCCCCCCCGAAACGGGGGGCGCGCACTTTTACCGCAAAAGAGCTGATGTGGTGCCCCCCAGGGGCACAGGAAACATCCCTCCTCCTCCTCCGCGTGTCCTCCCCATCCGCCCGTGGCCCTGGATGCAAGGCTCCCGCCTGAGACTTCCTCGCAATTCACGCCGCCTCGGCCGTCGGAGTTTTTCCTGGGGGGAGCGTCAGCGGGGGGAACGAGGGAGGAAGATGAAACAGAAGAGGGCTATGAGGATGGGTATGCGACCTTAGCTCCAGGTACCAGGACGAACGACACAACGCATGTATGTCACGGGCTGCCCGATGTAACGTTGTACATCTCATAATGAGTTGGTCCTATCGTGCGTGCTGTCGCTCTTGAGAATGGTTGGCACCCGTCTTGAATCGCTAACGCAACAGTCGTATGCCGTCTAGTACGGAAGTTGCTCCCGCCTGAAACTTCCTCTTCAGACCGCGGGGGTCGCGACATGCTGATGCCGTGCAATGTAATGTGATGCCGTGGGGGTGTTGCGTCATCATCATTCGATTTCTGCGTTGCGATCGTGACGGCATTGCGCGTGTGCCCAGGCCCACCCGACGTCATCGCCGATGTCATCGCCGATGTCATCGCCGACGTCATCGCGATGCCATCGCGATGCCAGTGCGATACCATGAGTACAAGCAGTCGATGCCAGTGCACTGAAATTGTTTTATGTGTTTTGTCGCTACCCGAGGGCGCACGCGTGATACAATGCAAGGGAACGGCAGGCGATTGGCACCAGCGGTCATTGCCATCTAACATCGCCCATGCGTCGCGGCACGACCATGTAGCCAGATTGAGATGCAAGGAAGAGCGGGGCGAGGGCGTGGAGTCTCGGTTGCGGAAGAGACAGAGGATATAGGCAATCGATGCCCTAAGTGTGCAGCATGCGTGCGTGGGGCAGCCTGTCGGCTGCGAGTCCACGCCTGGCTCTTCACTACCCGCCCACCTGCCATCCACCAATGCCGTCCACCCGTGCTGTCTTCCTCCGCCCCACTTTCCCCCATCCTCCCCCTCGCCTCTCGCACTCCCTCCTCAGCCTCGGAACTAAGCCAGCTCGAGCTCATTAGCGTCGAACCCGTGATACTTCGACTGCCGAATTAGACAAGCCTTCGCAAGCAACGCGAGCCAGTGCTGCCGTGAAGCCGCGTGGGTACCGAGCGGACGATTTCATCCGCTTCTTGTCGCCTGTCACCCACATTTTTCTAGTGCTCTTAGTCTTAACTGCAGCCGTGGACTTGGCAGTCTCGAAAACAAGACGCTTGGCCGAGCTGCCCAAGCGATGCTTTGCCTCACGGTGTGACATATGAAGTGATAAGGCCTCATGCGGAGCGAGGCTCGTATAGATCTCGTCTGGTTTCATGGTGTTGCCGCCCCAGCCGCCCATCCATAACACCATGCGTCTCAGTCCGCTTGCTCGAATTGCAAACTCAATGGACGGTACTCGATATAGAAATGAATTCAGTGGCTGTTCCACAGTAGTACGCAACTTGCGCATTGACGCCACCATGATGATGTACGACCTTGGGTGCTTATGATTACAGCCCTCATCTTATCTCCCCCGTACGCCATCCCAAGACTTTCCCAATGACCCCCTCCCCCATTGCACAACCGCTTTCATCGGCCAAATGTCGTCAACCCCCGAGGCCCCCTCGAGGCCACATTTCTGGCCCCCGACGTCAGATCGGCCAAGAAGTTTGCCTCTGTGATGTCGTTCCTGGACGGGTCCCCCAGAACGTTCATTCGAGACCTGAGCGTGTGCCCTCTAGACACCCAAAGGAACGATGAGCATGGCGGTGATAAGTGCACCGCGCCTGTCTCAACCACGGTGGCCACCAAGTACAACGCGTAGAGAACACCCACCTGGGATATGCATGAGTACCCCTGAAACAATCATGCACGCGTGGGGGTCGGGGATGGGGGCAAGGGTGGCGATGGCCCCCGTATAGCTTTCAAAACGCACGTCAAACACCACGCATAAAATTCAATCGCATCCCCAGAACCGTCGTGCATCCATTTTGCAGCGGAGAGTCCATCACGTCGAACGTGCGTGCGACGTAGCCAGATTTCATGACAGCGGACGCCGTATCACCGTATCCTGAAAATAGTTCCAACCATGCTGTATCCCGCGGGATGGTCCACAGTACTTTGAGAAACTCACGCACGCAAGAAGACAACAGTGCACAGCCCGAGTGTGCTGAAAGGGTACCTTGCTCCGCAGCAATGGACTCTGCGGTATTGATCGCCCATTCCATGCCAGCCGCGTGGGGGGGTACGCTGGCTCCTGCGGACGAGATGAGCAGTATCAGCACGAGCGGGAACATCAAAACAGCCCAGACACGAGCGCCACGCTATCTGTGAGCCCAGGGGCGATGTGCACCGAAAGCCCCAGCGCCGATTGGATATCCCACAAGCGGAATACACGCACCTCGAACCGTAAGCGGTGGGCGAAGATGGCGAGGGTTCGGAGGAGGCTATTCAAGCTTTCATCCAAAAAGCAATTGTACGCCCGTGGCGAACCATGATCTGATACCCTGATGTGGACTCTTTATATAGCTGCGTGTCAAAAACATGATGGACCCACGAACCCGGAAAGGGATTTAGACATGTGGAGCATGGACACGTTTTCACGATACCCAACTGGGCAACACCTCACGAAACATCCCACGAGACACTTCACGAAACATCCCACGAGACACCTCACGAAACATTCCACGAGACACCTCACGAAACATTCCACGAGACACCCCGCGAAACATTCCACGAGACACCCCACGAAACATTCCACGACGACAGGCAACCACTCAACCAAGGCGGTGTGGTCGTGCTGGGGTGTGGTCGTGCTGGGGTGTGGTCGTGCTGGGGGGTGGTCGTGCTGGGGGGTGGTCGTGCTGGGGGGTGGTCGTGCTGGGGGTGGTCGTGCTGGGGCGTGGTCGTGCTGGGGCGTGGTCGTGCTGGGGCGTGGTCGTGCTGGGGTGTGGTCGTGCTGTGGTAAGGTCGTGCTGGGGTGTGGTCGTGCTGGGGTGTGGTCTTGCTGGGGTGGGGTCGTGCTGGGGTGGGTCGTGCTGGGGTGGGGTCGTGCTGGGGTGTGGTCGTGCTGGGTGGGGTCGTGCTTGGGTGGGGTCGTGCTGGGGTGTGGTCGTTCTGGGGTGTGGTCGTGCTGGGGGTGGTCGTGCTGGGGGTGGTCGTGCTGGGGTGGTCGTGCTGGGGGTGTGGTCGGCTGGGTGTGGTCGTGCTGGTCGTGCGTGCTGGGCGTGGTCGTGCTGGGGCGTGGTCGTGCTGGGTGGGGTCGTGCGTGGGTGTGGTCGTGCTGGGTGTGGTCGTGCTGGGGTGTGGTCTTGCTGGGGTAGGGTCGTGCTGGGGTCGGGTCGTGCTGGGGTGTGGGTCGTGCTGGGGTATGGTTCGTGCTGGGGTGGGGTCGTGCTGGGGTGGGGTCGTGCTGGGGTCTGGCCGTGCTGGGGTGTGGTCTTGCTGGGGTATGGTCGTGCTAGGGTGGGGTCGTGCATTTCGCTCGAGACATCCTGCCAAAATTCCAGGAAATCGTACAAAAACAAACGAATTAGTCGAGACATCATCGAAATTCCTTCGCGCGGGGCGCTTTTCCGCGTCGCGGTCGGCTCTGCAAAACAAGCGTTTCGCTCGAGACATCCTCGGCAAACTCTGCGGAGCAAGCGTTTCGCTCGAGACATCCTCAACACACGAAAAAGTGTCCCGCACCCTGTGATTTATCGATCGGGATTTCAAAAACAAGCGTTTCGCTCGCGACATCCTCAAATTTTAATTCGCCGGCCTCCTTCGACCTCGTTATTTATCAGGGAAAAAATTCGCCGGCCTCCTTCAAGCAGGCACCGGGGGATTAAGTTTACAAACTAAAAGAGAACCCTGGGCTCTTGCCCTTTCCGGGAACCTCCCACCTTATCCCACCTCCTGTCTTGCCCGCTCGCTGGATCATTCCACCCGTCCCTTCTATCCTTGCCCTCGTTCGCAGCTCCATGTCAACCCCTCTTCTCCTGCCATCCGCGGCATTTCGTTCGTGCGTGTTATTTACCGCCCACCGCCCGCCGCGCCCCCGTCCAGCTGGTCCCCCAGGAAGGTTGGTCACCGGGGCCCAACTTGGTCAACGGGGGGCGGGGCCAGGTGCCACCAGGGGAGAATTGGCATAGTTTTCTGCGGAGTTGAATTTGACAAGTGAACCCAGAGCAGGGGTTGCGATGATGCGAGGGCCCATGGAACCGAACTCGCTAACGAACTTGATACTCGGGGCAACTGCATGGAGGATGGGTGAGGAGGAGACGGAGGAGGAGGAAGAGAATGATAATGAGGAGCATGCTGAGGATAGACGGAAGATGATGATTATGAGGATGAGGAGGAGGAGGAAGAGGATGAAGAGAGCGGAGGAGGAGGATGATGATGAAGAGGAGGAGGAGGGGCAAGGAGGACGAGGATGAGGAGGATGCGGATGGAACGGATGGAGCGCGAGAAAGGGAGATGAGAGAAAGAGAGAGAGAGAGAGAGAGAGAGAGAGAGAGAGAGAGAGAGAGAGAGAGAGAGAGAGAGAACGATATGTAGGAGGAAAGAGAGAGGGAGGATGATGGAGGACGGCGCGGATGGACGTGGGAGGGAGGGTGGAGGGTAAAGGAGGGAGGAGGGAGAGGATGAGAGAATGAGGAGGAGAGGAGAAGGCGGAGGATGAAGAGGAGAATAGGGAGGAGGAAGACAAGGGAGGAGGATGGAAGAAGGAACAGGTAGTTGAGCTGATGTCAGAGGGGTCGGGGGGGGCGTGAAAGTTGAGGAGCGTTAGCTCGAATAGGGGGTCTCAGACCAATCAGGCAAACGAAGCAAAGGCATCACCTGCATATCATGTGCGCCGTCAAATGGTGTTTGGGCGTCAACGAGATGTTGCACGTCATACAGCACCGCAAATGCATGTCGAAGTGCACGGCCATGCTACGCTGCTCTGCCAGCGGAACAACAACCCTATGAGCACAGATAATCGTCAGTAGTTTCAGAAGTGATAACCCCGCTTGATGCAGATAAGGTCCGTAGACCGCTGGTCCACCAAATTTGTTCAAACAGTGCATCGCGAATGGAAGAAACAGTCCGCACTCTGCTGCTTTCAAGCTCATGGTGCCTCCCGTATGCTGAGGGTCCTGGGGTCAAACGTGGGGGTCGCGAACAAAACGTGCGATGTCACCGCAATGTCATCGCGATGTCATCGCGATGACATCGCGATGACATCGCGATTACACCCGCAGCGCCTTTCGTGCTGCGACTGCCAATCATGATGCCTCACCAGTGTCTAAGTAGTGTCTCGGTGGGGGTCTCGGGGGGTGCAAGTTGGATCTAGGCATGATCTCACTGCGTTCTCGGCGAGCTGCCGATTGCGGGGGTGTTGGCGGTGTCTTGGTGGCCGACGATTAGATAGGCACCTGGAGACAGAGTTATCCAACTCGACGAATCGGAACGCGAACAATCGACGTAGCACGGCCGTCAGGGGTGAGAGGGAGAGGATGATAAGAAGATGAGGAGAAGGACGAGAAGGATGAGGAGGAAGATTGAGAAGGTACCGCGCCCTTTTGGGTCATGATTCCCTTCCCCCATCTTCTCGATACCTTGCCCAAGACATGCCCCGTGAGCCATGGGAGGTATTGTCCCATTGGGGGAGACAGTTCGAAGCCGTGAACATCGTTGGCCTCCCCGCCCCCTTGGACTCCTCAGGAACCCCTACGGAAACAGTCGGTTCTTGAGGTCAACGATATCGCGCATTTCCGCGCGCCACCCGCGCGGATCTCGGGGTCTGGCGGAGCATAGCCGAAAGCGTTCAAGATGTCCACAGAAAGCAGTTTGGGACGGACAATCACGACTCATCGCCGCACCACCACCCACCCGTCCCCAACAAGGCCCTTTACGGCGACTGAACAGTCTTCCGAGGAAGATGCGGGGAGGGTGGGGATGGTTGGTGAGGAGTCGTGATCACCCGCACGTGGGAGCCGCTTTCACTGTGCCCCCCCAAGGCTGTGGTTGGACGCGATGCTGGGTCACATGACAACTCATCGAAAGAAAGATAGTCGCACTCCGCAGTTCCTGGCGTTCCTTAATCCAAGGCGAAAGTGCTACATTGCTTGGCTGAGGACCCAATCCAAAGTTTGCCCCGACATCATATCTAACCACGGGTGGCGCTGTCAGTCGGGAGCAGGGGAGATGGACGAGGAAACGATTGAGAACCAGGGGTGGGCGAGGAGGGGGGTGAGCAAGAGGAGGAGGAGGCCGAGGATGATGAGACAGTTCAAGGCAAGCCCGTCATCCTGGATGGTGAAGTTCTTCCTTTTGCCAAGCATTTTTACGGTGAGGAAGTTGAGCCGTTGGCCAGGTGGTATTCGCTGCTGATCCTGCCATACACGGAGCTCAGCAGAGATCTGTTTGACTCCCAGCTCGACGACTTGGTCGGTCGTCCCATGGAATCGCCACACGTTAGATAAAACCACGCGCCATGCAACTGTAGAAATGTATCGCATGATTGGGCCGAAGTATAAGCAGTGCAGCTCGTCCACTGCGAGGCTGTCGGCCACGGACGTACCGATCCGCTCGTCGAATAGTGGGCATCTGTGGCTTATTGGGTCGAGTGATTTCGTCCCGTCCCTGGTGGCCCGCCACAAAATGCATGTCAACGGAAGCGGAAGTGAGTCTAGTTTGGCGATGTCCAGCACCTCGTCCGATGGTTCCAACCTGTCCCCCACGCACACCTGCGTGCCACAGACCACAGCATCAGCGACTACCAATCTGCCCCCCACGGGGTTCCTCGCATCGGGCTTGCGCCACCTCAGGACATGTATCAAGGCGCTGCGGTCACCA